CGCATACCCGGGAAAGTTGAAGATGAAATAATTGATACATGAATTTCAAATATTTAAACCGCGGAATTAATACATAAATGTATAGAAGATCCTCGCAGTTGAAGTCGCAACTTATGCATTGCGCCCTCCGCCCCATGTTAATCACAAATCACGAATCTCCCAATCCTAAGTTCGTGCGAATAAAGATGATCTCTTTACCCATCAAATACGCAGTTCTACGCCCACCCCACCCCCCCCGCCCCCTTTTCTGTATGAGAAGCTTCGTTTCAAATAATTGGTGCTTGGTTTGAACAGGGTCAGCCTTCCCTCAGAGTTTCTTAAGTTGTAAGCAGAGTGACGCTGAGAGAAAAGACTTTGTAGATATTCCGGAGCAAGGTCATTCATGGTTTTATACATCATTAAGGCTTTTTGTTTCTTTCGTCGAAGAGATAGCCTCTCCCAGCTGAGGGTGGAGAGAAGGTGGTTTGAGCTCGCATCAAAGGGTGATTTAGTAATAACTCTGGCTGCGCGATTCTGTAATTTTTGGAGCTTATCACTCAAGTAACCACTCAAACAGTCCCAGACGGGGCTGCAGTAATCACAGTGAATGAGGCATAATTAAGGCGTTATAAATTTGAATTGTAGTTTCTTTGGATATAAACGGCCGCACACGTTTTAGGGCGCCTATAGCTGAAGAGACTTTCTTGCAAATCTCTTCAACGTGTTTACCCCAAGAGAGTTGAGCATCTATGGTAAGGGACCGTTCATTTTTTTATGAGAGAGGGGGGCTGGTGGGATTTAGGGGGGAACTCGAAAAAAAATTGGCTTGAAAGGGGGGGCCAGCCAAAAAAAACTGAAGGAAAGGGGGGGGGGGTTGGACGAAAAAATTAGATTAAAAATAGGATAAGAGATGTTTACAAATGGAAGAAAAATTGTGCTCTTTTATTTATAACAAATATGCTAAAACAGTTCCAGGGTAACAAGAAAACTTCTCAACAGCTTTTATATTTTATAAGGACAGTGAACATACCATAATAACAGTCTTGAATAGCAACAACTTTCTTTTCATTCATAAAAATGTTGTTGTCAAGCTCATATAATTAAAACCAATAATTTGAGTCCTGAATTGGAACTGACCTCGTTACCAGAGCTTTTCTCTGAGAAATTTAATGGGAGGGGCATGAAACTACTACGAGGTGTCCCCTTCCTCATTTTCGATCGCTGTGTTCCTCTTCTTCTTCCTCCTGTTCTTCTTCGTTGTCTTCCTCTTCTTCCTCTTCTTCGTCGTTTTCTTCTTCCTCTTTGTTCGTGTCTCCGACGTTTGAGCTATAATCTTCAGGATGCAGGAAGCAATACATCCTGTTTCTTACTTCTGGCTTAAGGTTGAAAATAAGCCTGCTTTGTGCCGCGTTGCTGAAGTAGCTTGATTGCAGTATGTGAGCGATGAATGCTGCATCCCGTGTTAGCAACAATGCTGCTACATCTTCAACGTTTATGCACGCTTCCGGAATTGTCATGGAGGGAGGATAAAGAAGACAATTGGGAAGCTCTTTTGCAAGGGGATTTGCAACGCAGATATGATACACGCGTAGGAAGTACGTTGTTTTCAAACCGTTTGCGTTTTCTGCCCTTTGATTTCCTACGGTTTTGTTTTAATTTTCTTTTTTTTGACACATAGCGTCCTGTTAAGCCCTTGAAGACCTGGTCAAAGGTCTCCTTCTTTTTTTTCGAGGTTTTCTAATTCCCCTGAAACCTTGAGCTGCTTTGCCTCAATCCTAGCGATGTGCTGCACATTGAAGTCATGGTGGAATTTCTTGTCAGGCTTCAGGGTAATGCCATTCGCCTGGAAGAGCGTGGAGTCATGATAACAAAACGAAATTTTAATGCAGTAACTTTTTTAATACCTTATGAATCTTTTTATTCATGAAGAGGGGGGGGGGGGCTTCCAAAAAATTACTCTGATGAGGGGGGCATGCGAAAATAATCGGAAATTGGGGGGTCATACAATTTTCAAATTACACTCCTCCAAATCCCGCCAGCCCCCCCTACCCCATAAAAAATGAACGGTCCCTAAGACCTAAGGATTTGGTATGATCGACTCTCTTGATAATTTGGTCATCAATTCTGATTTCTACATCGTCATATTGGGCAGATAGTCTTTGTCTTGATCCAATAATCATTAGCTCTGTTTTAGCAACATTTAGACTGAGCTAGTTAGCTTTCAGCCAACAGCTAAGGTTATTTAATTCAGGGGTTAGAGCTAGCTTAAGCTCTGTTAACGTCTTAGCAGATAACGTAAGGTTGGTGTCATCGGCAAACATTCTTGGTACGGCGCCCCGCAGGGAGTTGGGAAGATCATTAATGTAAATTAAAAATAGCAAAGGACCCAATATGCTACCCTGCGGCACTCCGCAACTGAGGGTACGAGCACATGATAGTTTGCCACTGACATTACATCTTTGGGTTCGGCCACTTAAGTACGACGAGAACCATTTTATGGCTGCCTGATCGACACCCAAGTATGACATCTTACGCAAGATGATCTCATGATCAGTGGTATCGAATGCCTTAGTAAGGTCAATAAAGACAACGCCATTTAGAAGGCCATTGTCGATGTTTATTGACCAAGCATTTGTTGCCTCAAGCAAAGCCGTGAGCGTACTATGTAGAGAACGGAACCCTGATTGGCAACCTAGTAGCAATTTATTATCATCTAGATAATGGAAAAGTTGATTATAAACAATTCTTTCAAAAACTTTTGAAATTATAGGGATTACAGATATTGGCCTGTAGTTGTTAGGGTCCGATTTAATGCTCTTTTTAAAAAGTGGAGTCACTTTGGCCATTTTCCAATCGTTTGGATATATCCTAGTGAGAATAGACTTTGAGAATATTGAGGTAAGAGAGGGTGCGACGATATTAGCAGCCATTTTCAACAATTTACTCGGAATCATATCAAGACCGGTGGCTTTCTTTTCATCAATTTTCGACAAAACGTTAGAAACAATATCAACACTCGGAATTTGCAGAGAAAACGAATGGTCACTGGGCTCTAAATAAGACTCAGGATTAGCATCGACAACAGGAATATCTTGTACTAATACTTGCGCAACGTTTGTAAAGTGATCGTCAATAGTTTCCGCAATGTCCATAGGGTTACTTGCTATTTTATTATCTACCTTGATCGCCAAAATATTCGTTGACTTATGACTTATTCGATGTCTTTGAGTCCGGGGTGACACGTGTTGGTTCAGTGATTAACTGACTAAGACCATATATATCGAAAATGTTTATCAGATGAGAAGAATTAACTGTAATTGCTTCAGGCAACAAATTGCAGTTGATATCACCGAGTAAATATAATTCCTTTTTTTCCGCGTCAATTTTAGCAATAACATTCTCAAATTCGCTAAATAGATTGGGTGGAGAACTTGGGGGTCGATACCAAGTACCGACCAGAAATGGTGTGCTTCGTGGCTTACTGATTTCAACGAAAAGACACTCTAAAAGATCATTATTTAAATCATTGCGTATTCGATAGTTCATTTTAGTGCGAACGTATGTACATACTCCGCCTCCATTCCTTCCGTTAATTTTACGATCTTTTCTGACTATTTCAAAGCCAGGTATGTAAACTTCGTCATCACGAACTGTAGAGTCTAATTTTGATTCGTTGATATGTAAAATATCAGCTTTTGAAGAGGACATAAAAACTCTAAGTTCGTCAATATGAGACAACAGACTATTAATGTTAAGGGACGCTATGGCTAAACCTCGCTGATTAACGTATGTTTTGCCTCCTAGCTGGAATCATGTCCGTTTGATTATTTGGAGGTTTTTAATGGTGACACAAAAGATAGAAAGAAACTTGTGGCTAAGCTATGCGGAAGTGATTTACCTGATCCTATCGAATCCAGTGGCAACACACTCATCCTAAAGTTCTCTTCAGATTGCTCAATTGGCTACAAAGGCTTTAAGCTGCAGCTTACAAAAACAGGTGTGGCACTAGTTCCGTTGGTACATATCAAGAGCAATGAGAATTATTCTCTCCGTACATATTTATCCTGGTGTAATTATATTTAGGCATTTGTAATGTGGTACTGAGCAAGGTTCTGCAAAACGTTGGATAAGCAATAGTACTTAGAGAGAACATAGACTAGAGATAAGACCATGCGTCAAGCGATCACTTACGAATGCGAGCCGAAAAACAATAAAACATTTTGTAAAATCACTTTACCCCAAACATAATGTAGTTGCAGCCACATGAGAGAGCGATACGAGAGCTCTCACCTGTAAGCTTTTATCGGGAATTATTATCATTATGTTTTTTTTTTTATGGATAAGAAGTCGCTTAATTGGAGATGGTTGAAATTTTTACATAGACTAGGGATTGTGGTAGAAGGTTTTGTTTTGGCTAGACTGTGTTAGTGACCTCAGTAGTTTCTGGAAAACAGCTACTATAGGATAAGGGGGATTTGGGGAGTTTACTCTAGTATAGGGTAGCCAAATTCAGCTGAACTAGCTCTGGTATCGGTTAAGGGTTCCAGGGTCCCAGCGGCACATCCCCACCCAGAAATTCCTAAAGTACCCCCCTCCCTCCCCCGGCCGAAAATCTGGTCAAAGTCACGCCTCAAGATTGCAACTTTGAAAACATCCACTTCCGGTTAACGTAACAGACGTGCGTCTCTCATGAAGGAAGACAGCCAGTCATTAATTTAAAAACTCCAAATTGTGTTTTTCGAGAGTAAATTGAATTTACTGATCTAATACTACAAAACAAAATCATCGGATGGAAAGAAATCCGGGCTAATTCTACATGTCAAGGGAAATGAGAAGGGATGAAGGGATGATAAGAAGGGATTAAGATGATTGTCCTCTCGTGCGGTATAGCCGCCTCGCCTTTTTCTGAGTACACCGGGTGGTTTTTAAAGTTGTCCCAGTGCTGAATAAAAAGGGCGTATTCAAAGATTTAGCGTCTGATTTTACTTAATAACTGATTATTTTTTTTATTACCATCTATAGGTTCTCGTTCAGTTCAGTGCGGAGGTAACGTAACTATTAACAACACTGGTGAAATCACTAGTCCCCGATTTCCATTAAACTATCCTAAGAATGCAGACTGTGAGTGGAAGATCTACGTGGATGAAAGTTCACGAATAAAGCTAACGTTCATGGACTTTAAAGTAAGTGATAAGTTAATGAGGGAACAAAGTTTTTTAAGTGATTAGCAACGACATTTCTTTTCAAAATTCTATTTTTTAACTAAGTTCCAAAAAATGCATAATTATGCGGAAGGAAAGCCTGAAAATTTTCAGGCTTGCGGGAGTACAACCCTTGACCTCTGCGATACCGGTGCAGCGATTTCAGCAATTGAGCTGGCAACCCAACTGGGAGATGGTCATTAAATTGGTTCGTAACATACCGGGCAAAGATGAAGACGAAATAATCAATATGTGAATTTCAAATATTTAAACCGCACAATGAATACATACAGTGTACAGAAGATCCTCGTAGTTAATGTCGCAACTTATGTATAGCGCGCTCCGCCCCATCTTAATTGCAAATCATGAACCTCCCAATCCTAAGTTCGTGCGAATAAAGATGATCTCTTTACCCATCAAATACGCTGTTCTACCCCCACGCGTTCCGACAAAAAATTTGCATTCATGTGCCACATCTAGATCTAGAGAGTTAGGATTTTTAACTGAAAAAAACTAACGCATTAGCGGAGCTACATCAGGAGTGCTGGTGTCCTCGCTCTTGATCCTGGGTTTGTAGACCACGCACCGTTCACACCTTGTTCAAGGCTTCCGGTTCAGAATGATACCCTGTTGTAGACTCAGGATCCCAAAAACCGCACCAGTTCAGCGGCGCATCCCCATTTAGGCCAGGTAAGGGGGTCCACCACCAGGGATTATAGACGGATTTTATCTACCTCCTTTTACCCGATCTGCAAGTTATATACAGTGAAACCTCTTATTAAGCGGACACCCTCTATTAAGCGGACCCCCAATTAAGCGGACGCCCTCTATTAAGCGGACACTAAGCCAGGTACCGAAATTAACGTCTTATATTTCCCTTTATAACGAACCCTATGCAGCGGAAACCTCTATAAAGTGGACGCGGACACTAAAATAAATTGTATTTGTCTAATTTCTATTGTTAATAACCTCTATTAAGCGGACACCGGACTGAATTAACAATAGTAGTATTAAATTACGTCCTTGAAATACGTACTGAAGTCAGTTAATGTTTTTGGATTTATAATTACACTAACTTAAAGTTGGTACTGAAAGGTAATGAACTTGAACTCTGGATAGCTTCTTTAACAACAGGCAACTTTATCACAGTACATGTACAGAGTAACTGTTGAATGTTGATCGTTGACAAACATTGCGCAATTTTTACAACCTCTATTAAGCGGACACTTGGAAAGGTCCCGAAGGTGTCCGCTTAATAGAGGTTTCACTGTATATGGACGTTGTTTCTGCCTTGTTCAGGTCCAACACTTTTAATTTTTTCGGCCGAAAACGATCCCCAAAGTAGCTATCATAAAAACTAAGAACCATTGCTTTTTTTCTCTTCTCCTTTTTCCTTCTAACTCGCTCCTACTTTTTCTCCTTTCCTTTTCCTTCGGTACTGTGATTTTGGAACTTCTTGGGTTTAGGAAACCTGCCTTTTGACGCCTTTTCACTCAAATGACTGCAAACTTCGTTAAGCTGGTTTTCAACAAATCGGCTTAAGTATGTATGTATGTATGTATGTAAATCTTTATTTAAACACGGGAAATCATCAGTTAAGCTCAAGTTAAAAACTAAAACTAATTACAACTGCTTTACATGATTGCCGTGTGGGAATCCGATATATCAGCTACCTTCTTGATATTTCGCTTAAAATGCTCAACGGATGCAGCATTTTTTAAGTTTTTGGGCAAGTTATTCCATAACATGGCCCCGCTGTAAGAGAAGCTTCGTTTCAAATAATTGGTGCTTGGTTTGGACAGGGTCAGCCTTCCCTCAGAGTTTCTTAAGTTGTAAGCAGAGTGACGCTGAGAGAAAAGACTTTGTAGATATTCCGGAGCAAGGTCATTCATGGTTTTATACATCATTAAGGCTTTTTGTTTCTTTCGTCGAAGAGAGAGTCTCTCCCAGCTGAGGGTGGAGAGGTGGTTTGAGCTCGCATCAAAGGGTGATTTAGTAATAACTCTGGCTGCGCGATTCTGTAATTTTTGGAGCTTATCACTCAAGTAACAACTCAAACAGTCCCAGACGGGGTTGCAGTAATCAAAATGAGGCATAATTTGAATTGCAGTTTCTTTGGATATAAACGGCCGCACACGTTTTAGGGCGCCTATAGCTGAAGAGACTTTCTTGCAAATCTCTTCAACGTGTTTACCCCAAGAGAGTTGAGCATCTATGGTAAGACCCAAGGATTTGGTATGATCGACTCTCTTGATAATTTGGTCATCAATTCTGATTTCTACATCGTCACATTGGGCAGATAGTTTTTGTCTTGATCCAATAATCATTAGCTCTGTTTTAGCAACATTTAGACTGAGCTTGTTAGCTTTCAGCCAACAGCTAAGGTTATTTAATTCAGGGGTTAGAGCTAAGCTTAAGCTCTGTTAACGTCTTAGCAGATAACGTAAGGTTGGTGTCATCGGCAAACATTCTTGGTACGGCGCCCCGCAGGGAATTGGGAAGATCATTAACGTAAATTAAAAATAGAAAAGGACCCAATGTGCTACCCTGCGGCACGCCGCAACTGAGGGTACGAGCAGATGATAGTTTGCCACTGACATTACATCTTTGGGTTCGGCCACTTAAGTACGATGAGAACCATTTTATGGCTGCCTGATCGACACCCAAGTATGACATCTTACGCAAGATGATCTCATGATCAGTGGTATCGAATGCCTTAGTAAGGTCAATAAAGACAACGCCATTTAGAAGGCCGTTGTCGATGTTTATTGACCAAGCATTTGTTGCCTCAAGCAAAGCCGTGAGCGTACTATGTAGAGAACGGAACCCTGATTGGCAACCTAGTAGCAATTTATTATCATCTAGATAATGGAAAAGTTGATTATAAACAATTCTTTCAAAAACTTTCGAAATTATAGGGATTACAGATATTGGCCTGTAGTTGTTAGGGTCCGATTTAATGCCCTTTTTATAAAGTGGAGTCACTTTGGCCATTTTCCAATCGTTTGGATATATCCCAGTGAGAATAGACTTTGAGAATATTGAGGTAAGAGAGGGTGCGACGATATTAGCAGCCATTTTCAACAATTTACTCGGAATCATATCAAGACCGGTGGCTTTCTTTTCATCAATTTTCGACAAAACGTTAGAAACAATATCAACACTCGGAATTTGTAGAGAAAACGAATGGTCAGTGAGCTCTAAATAAGACTCAGGATTAGCATCGACAACAGGAATATCTTGTGCTAATACCTGCGCAACGTTTGTAAAGTGATCGTTAATATTTTCCGCAATGTCCATAGGGTTACTTGCTATTTTATTATCTACCTTGATCTCCAAAATATTCGTTGACTTACGACTTATTCGTTGTCTTTGAGTCCGGGGTGACACGTGTTGGTTCAGTGATTAACTGACTAAGACCATATATATCGAAAATGTTTATCAGATGAGAAGAATTAACTGTAATTGCTTCAGGCAACAAATTGCAGTTGATATCACCGAGTAAATATAATTCCTTTTTTTCCGCGTCAATTTTAGCAATAACATTCTCAAATTCGCTAAATAAATTGGGTGGAGAACTTGAGGGTCGATACCAAGTACCGACCAGAAATGGTGTACTTCGTGGCTTACTGATTTCAACGAAAAGACACTCTAAAAGATCATTATTTAAATCACTGCGTATTCGATAGTTCAGATTAGTGCGAACGTATGTACATACTCCACCTCCATTCCTTCCGTTAATTTTACGATCTTTTCTCATTATTTCAAAGCCAGGTATGTAAACTTCGTAATCACGTACTGTAGAGTCTAATTTTGATTCGTTGATATGTAAAATATCAGCTTTTGAAGAGGACATAAAAACTCTAAGTTCGTCAATATGAGAGAACAGACTATTAATGTTAAGGGACGCTATGGCTAAACCTCGCTGATTAACGTATGTTTTGCCTCCTAGCTGGAATCATGTCTGTTTGATTATTTGGAGGTTTTTAATGGTGACACAAAAGATAGAAAGAAACGTGTGGCTAAGCTATGCGGAAGTGATTTACCTGATCCTATCGAATCCAGTGGCAACACACTCATCCTAAAGTTCTCTTCAGATTACTCAATTGGCTACAAAGGCTTTAAGCTGCAGCTTACAAAAACAGGTGTGGCACTAGCTAGCTCTGTTAGTACATACGAAGAGTAACGAGCATTATTCTCTTTGTACATGCTGTGTTATTTACCGTGATGTAATTAGGCCTTTACAATTTTGTAGCAAGTGTCTGCAAAACGCCGGATAAGCAATAGTACCTACAGTGAATCTGTGCCTACTAGAGATCAGACCATACGTCAAGAGATCACTTACGAATGCGAAAAACAATAAATCATTTTGTAAAATCACTTTACCCCAAAAGTAGTCGTGGCCACATGAAAGAGAGATACGACAGGTTTCAAATGCAAGCTTTGACGGGGAATTATTATTGTTATGTTTTTTTTTATGGATAAGAAGTCGCTTAATTGGAGTTGGTTGTAGCACATGGGGGTTCGACCTTGTGTATATTTCGATACTGTCAATCTTACGTCTTTCAGTTCCATTGTGTGGCCCAGAGGGTGCTTTTGCGGATTATGCCTTCCTCATAGACGCTTCAGGCAGTATTCTCCCACCGGAATTTGATATTTTAAAAACGTTCGTCAAACGAGTGATAGACTTTCTTCAGATTGGACCTAATCAGACCCATGTTGGCGTGATCGAGTACAGCAGAGGTGCTAGTTTGCAGCTCAATTTTTCACGGTCCTATGACAAACGAGAAATTAAGAGGTTTGTGCAACAAGTGCCCCATACTGCAGGTATCACACGGATTGACTTGGCGTTGAAGGTTGCTTCGGAACAATTGTTCACACCGCAAGAAGGAATGAGAGATGATTCAAGAAAGGTAAAGTTAGCTGAATCTATCAATGAATTCAACGGCCATGATTTTCTAAGGTTACAGAACGATTTTATGTCGATAACGTTTTAGAATTTTGTGATTTATTCAAACGAAAGTGCATTTATAGTAGTAAAAAGAGATACAAAGTTCTGAACTTAGGTAATGGGTGAAAGAGGTACCATTTGCCAATAGATGGTATACTAAAGGGGTACCTTGAGTTTTCTGTCAAAAATGGTAAGAGGTCAGACCTTGAGGTGGATCCTAAGCAATTGTTCAACATCCTGGAACATCCAACGACTGTTTTCATTGTAAAAACATCTTTTCGAAGAAGCAAATACTGCCTAGAATTTTCTATTTTTTCGAGGATTGCTAAAATTTTTCTAGATGACCGTTTCATTCACGTACAATTTGCGAAGCTTATCTAATAATTTTTGTGAAGTTTAATTTTTTACATGTTAATGGCCAGGTTGGGCTGTATTAGTACAAAAAAGGAAATCTAAAATTTTCGGATTCAAAACTGTGATAGAGAGAGAGGAATCTTTTAATATGCCTTATTATTCATTCAAAATATTTTCCCGATTCTGATTGGCTAAAAGCACACGCATAACTCACCTTAACCAGTTACTGATGACCAAATTTGGAAGAATTTTGTGTTTAACGAGGAAATGACTTCAAAAATGCAGCGTTCTTGCAGGTTAATGCACCGTTAACCGAGAAGACCTGGGGGCGAGGTTGAGTTGTTTTGATTGTGAAAACAAGAAATAGGGGACGTTTCCCTCGTTTCAAGAGTAAGAACTAAGCGCAATTATAGCTCAAAACATAACAAGAACAGCAAGAACACAACTCGAAGGGCGACATCTGCTATTTGGAGAATATTTGCGGAGCTGAACAACCCTAAACGTGCACTATTGAAGGTGAACTTAACATCGATGGAGGTAAGCATGTTTTAGCTTTGTTTTTAAACTACGAATTATTTTGAATGAATAATAAAACAATTATTGAATTCGGCTTTCGTATCATATGAAGAATTATGGAGATCTCGGCACCCTCCTCGATCTCCATAATTCTTCATAAGATACTCAGCCTCATTCATTAATTGTTAATTAACGCTACCTCTTATAGAGACGACCAAAAATTTGTTCAAAATCACGGCTCGAGAGTGGAAAAAGTCCACTTTCAGTTGACGTCCGTGGCTCAAAAACATCACTTCTTAAGCTCCCTGTTATCTCTTGGTGCCCCCCCAGCTGCTGGACATGTTGCAGGTAACGAGAATAAAGAAAATTAAGTCACTTAAAGCTCGCTGCAAAAAGCCTTTACCTCTCCTCAATCAAACTAACTAAAGAGAGAGACGTTAATAGTTCGCAGCTGAAATTTCAAAATTAATAGGGACCTTTAGATTCGAGGACGGCATTTCCAGATTTGGCTTATTTTATTCCCGCGCATTCTCAAAAAATAGACCCCCCGGAAAGCTTCATTTTACCTTTTTGTTTTTTTCACCATAAAAGTAAACACGGTCATTTTAAGTAAAGGAGCCGGGTTAAGCCCTTTCCCGATCGCAACACTGATGGTAACGCCTTCTAACTGATCTGATGACTTGATGTGCTGCGCATGCACCACATCGTATTGAGAAAAGTTTCGTTCTCATAGTCCGTACTCGAACAACAACAAATCAACAATAATTTTATTCCACATAGTTCTGATACAACACTAATCACACACTCAGATAATAAGGTTAAATAAGAAAATTAAATGGAAAAATTTACATTAAAAAAAAAGGTAAATGAATAAATACGATTAAAAAAATTGTGCTTTCCAAGGCTAAGATAGATTGCTAAAGTAATTGAGCAACTGGGAGACTTCCATGTAGTCATTTTCAAGCTCTAAGGTTTCAAGAAGTATTTGTTTAATTTTGTTTCGGAACTTGGATTTACCAAGACATTTAACAGAGTAAGGGATAGAGTTCCAAATCGATACACCAATCCTTACAAAAGATTTTTTTATTTACTCAGTTTTGGAAGCTTTCACGTTGAAGCATTCATTCGACGGTGATCTGGTATTATTTGTGAATCGTACTAGTTTTGGTGAATTGGCTAAGAATGTTAGTTGGGACGGACTGCTCATGAATGCATGATTCATACATTAAATAACTTATATGTTTAAAAAACAGGACAAAGTCGGAAAGACATTTTGCTTGGACAAAAAAAGCATGTTCTTGCAGTACCAATAGCATCATAGAATATAAGGTTCTCTTTTCGATCCGTTGGCTGGCAACCAATTTGATGTGCCATTTTTTCAGGTCATGGTGCTTCTTACTGACGGAAACCAAACTGGATTTGACCTTGTTCCTGATCAGACACCCCTAGTGGATGCAATACAACCAATCAAGGATTTGGGTGTCAAGATTATTGCGATTGGTATTGGAAGTGTAGACAGGGAGCAGCTGGCAACTTTGGTCACCGACCCCAATGATATTCTACAGCCTAAAAATTTTCAAGAACTCTTGACTTTAGTGAAGACAACGGTTCAAAAGAGCTGCGAAGGTACGTATTTAAATAGTTAACTTCATATTGGCGCCTCGGCCGCAACGATCTGCTTTTGACCTAAAAGAAAAGAGAATGGATTGGGAGCTTTCTGGCCCCACCCCTCCCCTCTGATGATGATACGAACATCTGGAAATACAGCTCACGTATAGCTCGCGTTATTTATGCATTCGGTAACAGCAAAAAGTGTCAAAGAGTATAAGACTGGAAGGCCCATTACAAACGAAAAGGGGGTTAGCATCTATGAATCCTGTTTCTTATTCATTTTTGGGTAACGATTGCGTATAAACCGAACAAGCTGCATTTCCATGGAGATGAGTGAAGTCCAAACTCCGTCGATACAAAGCGGCAGTAATGTGATTGTCTCGTTATGTTTACTAGGTGGAAACAGCCCTGAGTCCAGTTTGTTGTCCCGTCTGTGATGGTATGAACATGAGAGGTTACCGATTCAGTGAAAAACGGCAGAGGAAGCATACATTAACCGACATAAAATAGATTTCATTGACAAATGCCTTATAGCTTGCCAGTTTTTAAATTGTTTTATAATTTTTCAGTAGGGACAAAGCTTGCCTTATATTAGAGCGATTTTCGTATGACCTTGAACTGAAAACGCGCGAACAAAACAGAAACAACAAACAAACGGAAATAGAGCGATTTGATTGGTTTATCGAACGGTTACAAGCGCGCGTGGCTTTTGGTTGGCTAAGCGAATTCTGGGGTGAAAAAACTTCACGCCCGAGAACTTACTAGAAATCAATCGATACTTCGCTTTGACGTCATACTGCAACACAATTGGCCAATCGAACAAAGCCTTCTCCGTATTAGGGTTTTCTTTGGCGGGAAAACAAAGAGACCATGTTTTGATCTTTTCATCCATTGGCTGATAAAACAAATAACGAACACTTATTACCGAAACCATTTTTCAAGGTCATGCGAAAATCGCTCTAACAGTCTTCAGCTAATCGGCCCCTGTCTTTAGAGCATATTCCATTTTTAATCGGCATATAAAAAGTTGCTGGAAATACGCAACCTCGCTCCCAGGGTCCTCTCCTACTCGTCTCCCAGAGCGATAGAAGGGACAAATAGGAGAGGAACCTGGGAACCAGGCTGGGAAATAGGCTTCTTCAGGAAAAATCTAATGAACTGGCCTTGATAGGTGCCGGAGAAAGTACTTGACTTTTTATGCAATGTTTTCATTTTACTTTTGTTATTATCTGTCGGATATAACACGCGCGTTTCACGTAAATGGCAAAATTTCTGAATAAGTGATGATGATGATCATGATGATGATCATGATAACTGTGACAGTTTGTTATAAAGTCAGAATGATTATACTTGGGGACTCAGTTCTAATAAAAGCAAATGATTTTGATTTTTAATTTTATTTCAGTGATTTTGCTTCTCTAGGAACAGTAGCACTCATGCCAATAAAGCTAATGTATTGATGTTGTTATTCTTCTTTGTAATTATATTTCGTGGTTCAAGTGCGCCAAGTGATATGACCGGGCTGACCTTATATCGGGGACACGTAGGAACCTTTATGATAAAAAGACATGAACTGCAAATATGTCACCATTTTATTTTTGTTTTCTCTCTATATTTTTTCTATCACTCTTGCTGCCGTATAAAGGCCGGATCAGTCAGTACTGTAAAAAGTTTTAATTTTAAAGTTTGGTATTGAAGACTTTATTGATCCAGGTCTACTAAAGATCCGGTTGACTCTCATCACTGGTTTGTCGTTGAGGTTTTGCCTTCACAAGTGTAGGAACCTTAACCCGGAGCGAGCACGGAACTCCCATATAAGGCCTTTATCATACGGTTTCACAGACTGGTCTATTTTTAGATGCAGTTTAGAGCTTTTTTGAGCGAAATGGAAGCTCAGTTCTATCAAGAGAGAATGAGGATCATTCTCTCTTGGTTCTATCTGTTGTCGACGTCTGGTTTTTCGGGAGTGGAGAAGATCTCCCTTGTCTACTCCACTGGGAAGTCTCTCTACCGACTCTCGACCACCATTTAAGCGGGGGTGGTTCAGGTCAATTGTGCCCACGATCTCTATCGGTCGCTGAATGCGGAAACTTGGAAGTACAATGCCCAAAATCTGATGTCGGAAGCGAAAACTTAAAGGACAAATGCTAAATGTTGGATGCGAAAAAATGAATGTACATTCCACGGAACTTGAAGGTCGAATTCGCATACTTGACTGTTGCTTATGAAAAGTTGAATGTCGAAAGCGGAAACTTGAATGTTGTGTAAATCAAAGTTGAATGTTGGATGCAAAAAAGTTGAATCGCGAATGCAAACTCAAATGACAAACACAAAATGTAGGATAGATTGTGCAAAGTACAATGTAAACTGAAACATTGAAGATCCATTTGGAGTTTTTTGATGGCAGTCCATGTTGTTCCTTGTCTAAGATTGGAGCTGTCTATGGGTGTTCTTCACAAGGTACTGTAAGCATGACAATTTTAATCTTGTTTTGCAGCGTGGAAATGATGATGAGAAAAAGGAGATGGAAATTAAACTCCAAGCTACGAACATTGTCAGACTGTAAAACTTGAAATTTTTTTTTCTCCGAGAGGCTAAAATTAGTATTTTAAAATGTGACACGCAATCATAGAATGTGTTTGAATCGAATATTATTATTTCCTCTTTATTACCTATATTTTTCCCTACAAATCACAAATCTAAGTTATGAGTTGAATAACACAGAAATAGTCAGCCTTTAGGTAGAAAATGTCACATCACCGAGTAAAATGATATAAAGATAGAAAATGTTCCATCACAGGGGTAAAATGATCAGGTAGAAAATGTCACAGCACGGTAGTAAAATGATATTTAAGCAATAGAAAACGTTTTCCGTGTTTGCATAGCTTGATATAAACACGAGAAGGGTCGGGAGAATTCGAGACAGTCATGCAAACCCGCGAAGTCGAGGGTTTGCATAACTGTTGAGAAATTTCCCAACCCCTCGAGTGTTTATATCAGGATATGCAAACACAGGAAAAACGTTTTCTATTGCTTTTATAAAATAACTTTCTCAAGAAGAAAAGCAAAACTCTCTTGTTTAGAGCATTGGTTAAAAGAAAAATTCTTACCAGTCGCAAAGTCTTGTACACGAAGCTTCTACGCGCTAATCAGAGGCGGCCCAAACTCACTTTACGAGAGAAGAGTGTAACCAAGAGCACTGGTGATGCGCCGGTGTCGCGTTACGGTGTCGTCACGCAACGCTCCTCCCCACTTTGTGGGGAGGAGCATTGCGTGACGACACTAAAAACGGCTGTGTAGCAGACTACGTTACAGGCGACCGTTGAAAATATGAGAGACTTTGTAGGAGAAATATATTACTGAGATCTGCGAACGCTAAATAACACTAAACGTTACTTTTTCTTAAATGAAATGAATAAAAAGTACTTACCTGCAATGTATTCCACTGCGTTTTGGTGTCTGTTTGTCGTTATACTGTTTTTTTTTTGTTTTTTTTTTTGGCTTTATTGCCTAACCACTGTTACTCTTTTCAGTGTCCTTTCATAGAACGAAGTGAAGGCTGGTAACTTCGATCCGGCAGGGTCCTGGACCAGTCGCAACAAGAATGCCGTTTTTTTCGCCGAAATTCAAATCCGCTGCAAATTTTTCAGCTCTTCTTCCTTTCTGGGAGATCGGCTCGAGACACGTCTGGCTTTCGTCCAGTGCCTGTGACCACTGTTGCGCTTACCAACTAATTTGCATTATGACAATTAGCACTTACACGACGGGTGTAAGGGCGGAGATGACACGTCAACTAGGCTCTTGCTCTGTGAAAAAGTGAGTCCTTGCACCCGTCGCGTAAGTGCTAATTGTCATAATGTAAATTAGTTGGTAAGCACAACAGACACAGCTTGTTTCTAAAGATTTTTCAAGTTTCAGCCGCCGAGGAAATGGGTAAATAAAGTAAACTTGTCAAGTTTTTCAACTCAAAACCTTTTTCAAATTCGTGCTTGCGTGATTGGCGCGCGAAAAGCAAAACATCTTGACGTCACAACCATGTTTACATACTCTCATGCAAACACGCCTCTCGGCCAATCAAAGCTCGCGTACTATCTTAGTTATTTTATAAAAAGGTAGTAGTAGAAAATGTTCCATCACGGTAGTAAAATGATATCAAGATAGAAAATGTCCCATCACGAAGGTAAAATGCTATCAAGAAAGAAAATGTCACACCACTATAGTAAAATGACATCAAGGAAGAAAATGTCACATCACGGTAGTAAAATGACATCAAGGAAGAAAATGTCACATCACGGTAGTAAAATGATATCAAGGTAGAAAATGTCACGTCACGGTAGTAAAATGATATCAAGGAAAAAAGTGTCACACCACAGTAGTAAAATGATATCAAAGTAGAAAATGTTCCATCACGGTAGTAAAATGACATCAAGGAAGAAAATGTCACATCACGGTAGTAAAATGATATCAAGGTAGAAAATGTCACGTCACGGTAGTAAAATGATATCAAGGAAAAAAGTGTCACACCACAGTAGTAAAATGATATCAAAGTAGAAAATGTTCCATCACGGTAGTAAAATGATATCAGGGTAGAAAAGTCTCACATCACGGTAGTAAAATAATATCCAGGTAAAAAATGTCACATCTCAGTAGTAAAATGATATCAAGGAAGAAAATGTCACATCGCGGTAGTAAAATGATATCAAGGTAAAAAATGTCACAACACAGTAGTAAAATGATATCAAGGAAGAAAATGTCACATCGCGGTAGTAAAATGATATCAAGGTAGAAAATGTCACATCGCGGTAGTAACATGATATCAAGGTAGAAAGTGTCACGTCACCGTAGTAAAATGATATCAAGGAAGAAAATGTCAAATCGCGGTAGTAAAATGATATCAAGGTAAAAAATGCCACATCACAGTCGTAAAATGATATCAAGGTAGAAAGTGTCACGTCACGGTAGTAAAATGATATCAAGGAAGAAAATGTCACATTAAGGTGAAAAATAACAATGGTAAGTGGATTCTATTACAGGACAGGGTTATAGCCTCCTGACAGGAACATTTCATAGGAGATGTTACGCCAAATGAAACATGACAGTAACAAATAATTTTGAAACAAACGGCGGTACCGCGATACTACAGCTGAATTCGAAGTAGGAGAAAGAGATAAACGTTACATTTCAACGCTTGTCGGTCATAGGGGGGAGGGGGGGTAGGGGGTGCGACTCCAAATCCGTGTGCAACTGGCACTTCAGAAACAGAGGAAGAACATCATCCAGCACTGTCCTCTCTTCAACCAAGACATTTTAAAGGACTGAGTTATTTTTAAGCCTAGCTAAAACTCCAAAAATGTTAATCGTACTTTTTGGCAGAAAATAGAATCACGTACTGAAAACAAAAACATCCTTTTTCTTGATATGCCATGGAAACTTAGAATGAAAACTGAATTGGAAACGACTCGAAACTCAGGAATTCGATCTTGCCTTGTTTTCATTCACCTCCTGAGACCGGTCAAGCTTCTGAAATGACCAAGGCTGCGAGTAAATGGAATCGTTTGGGAATTTCCTGAGTCACTTCTTCTTTTTTTAGAATCCTTTATAAAAGTTTAATGTGTTCAAGGTCATCGGAGGGTTCACAACAAATGACATTTAGGGGGGTAAGGTTACCATATTGAAGTAATTGCATTGCGTTTAAAACCTAACCCACGGTGACGGCAAACTGCAGTTCAGCTTTAACCGCGAAGGACGAAACATGCAGTACCTAACTTTATTACGCTGCTTGTAAGTACATTCCAGACATCAGTAAATTTATTATCACTGATGACCTAAACCGTTTAAATTCTGCTTCATTTTTCTAGGCTGTTCATCAGTTTGATTTTGCCTGTTATGGTCTCTGGTCTTTGGCGTTCGCGACGAACGCGACGGATGAGACACCAACATGGAGGAGTGAAAGGTAATGGTAATGGAAAGTGTCCTTAGTGATAAGAAGATAACTTTTGAAAAACGCCTGAGTAACATATCAGTTTGTAGATTACCATCATGAAAGAATAAAGCTGGATACATGTTTATGAGCTAATGGTCGAAAAGAGCAGGGGGCACGTTTTTGTTCAAGTTTTTCCTTTTTTCCTTCTCTCGTGACATGACGATATATTATTGATTTTTTCTTAGAACGTCCTTCTTTCAAAGCATAGAAGAGAGCTACTACTGACAGGGGATTTGAAAATTTTTATTGTTCTGTCCCGTCCTTCTAAAAGACAGGAAGTCCTGTCCTCAGCTTAGGGAAAAAGAGAAAAAGCTTAAGTCCCGCCCCACTGACCCACGACAGCAAACAAG